ATCAGCGCGCTGGGGCCGTCAATCGACAAGAGTGCCAAAAGGTGTGTTCGTCGGAAACGTGCAATCTGTACCGAGGTTACCTGCAGATGACGATGTCACTGAAAAACCTAAAAAACGTGCAAAACCTTTGATTTCGTCAGCAAAAACCGTTTATTTAGAATCACAAATAAGCGTTTGACCTCGTCCAATATCATACATTTGATACAAAACCCTTGCCTAAAAAATTGTTCTAACAGCTAAATGGTCCCTGATTAGCATCTTCTAGAATTCGCCGTAAATTTTTGAGTTTATTCTTTATAAATCAATTCTTCTAGCAACGCTTTATCAAAGCTTCTTCAATTTCCTATCTTCTAGCTCCAAAATATTCATTTTGGGGAATTCCCTCCAGTGCCCGCAAAAATGCTTATTCAACACAACGTCTTATTTCCTTAAAATTTTAGCAGTGGTAATATGTTAGTGAAACGTCGGCTAGGTAGATTTGAAGACAAGTCTAACAAAAATCTGTGCCGTTATCAGCAACTGCGAAAGTTAACAAAGATCAGTAATCTCTGCAAATAGTTCACTTAACTATAAACCTTGTATACTTTTCTATCCCGTTAAAAATTATAGACTTTTATTTCGGTAATGGTACTGAGTAGTAAAGTCCAGACTTTTTTGCCCTGCCCTGTTCTTAGTTGATCGACCTTTAGCCATGTGAGAGCCTAGTAGAAGTCAAATGGTTTTGCAACAATCAATGTTGAGATTTATGACTAAGTTAAAGCTCCTGCCATTTCTTTAATGTTCAAATTATTTAATTTGAATTTTTCTTTTGTTTTGCAGCACCCATTTTGCCTACTTTGTTTTAATATTTTTTGTTTTTCCATGTGATAAGGGCACCAAGTATACTGTTTCAGAAAACATTGACATTAAGTTAATACAAAAGAAAAATAAACCACTAAACAGAATTAATTTGCCGACTTTATTTCTGAATCATCTGTTTCTGGGGCAGTCATTATTTGATGGAAAAATACTTTTTTTTTTT